AAGTATGTATATTTAATAAAAGCGCAAACACACAATTACGACGATTCCTAGCGTGTTTCATTCCTCGGCGATGTATTCGACAAGTTATATCGTTAAAAAATATTATCTTATTAAAGTAAAGTCTCTTATTAAGTTAAAGTCTTTTTATTATAAAAAAAAAAAGAAAAATGCACGGTACTACATTCCATTTGTTTGTGATTTTGATGAGTACTTCCTCCAACGCCAGTTAGCAATTATATGAGTAGGAAAGGAAGTAACAACGCGGCAGGATGCAGACAAAAGATAGAGCCTCTGTGAGATAAAGTCACCCCCGTATCGCGCGTTTCTTCCTGTCGGCTCTCGATACAAATACGCGTCCGTCCGTCGCGTATATAGGACACATAAATGAAACATACGCGACTTGATACGTTTGAGATCGAGACTAAGCGATGATTTTATCGGTGCTTCACAGGCAGCCTGGCGAGTGAGGATCTCTCTTTGGAGGAAGCGACCGCGGAGGAAGATGAGAACGGTGCGTCTGCCGACAGGGATCATCGGCATCATCACCATCAGGACGCGCGAAATGCCGTTACGTCAAACGCGCCCCCCTCGAGCAGTCCGCCGTCGCGTCACCACCAAACCCAGGACGAGGCGGATCGCTGCAACGCGCTGCAAAGTGGTGTAATTTTATACTCACCGCATTCCACGTCCGCTGTGCCCGCGACGAGCGTGAATATCTGCAATGTACCGACGTTGACCTATCGCGGCGTCTTCACCACGACCTGCGCGCAGTCCTCCCCTCTGAGCAATCTCCAGGGCGACCAGCAGCAGCAGCAACCGCAACAGCCGGGTCAGGAGCTGTGGGGGCCGTTACCGTCGCCAACCTTAACCTTGGCGGGCCAGCCGTTCCTTCACCCCAACTTACACTCAGCCGCGTACAGCGGCGAGACCGTCGAATTGCTGCAGGTCGATTCGAAACCACCCCCGCCGCCCGGTTATCACGACACGGCGACTACCACCCCCGCGACCTGGCTGACGGGTCACGAGGACGCTTACGATCCCGGTCTCCTCTCCCACCATCATTCTCACGCCCATCATCAGGAGACAACGTTGAAGCAGGAGCCGACGGGCACCGGTTACACTTCCAGCGTTCCACAGCAACCTCAGCAAGCTCAGGCGCAGGCCCAGCAACAGCAACAACAGCAAGCTCCGCCGTCTGCGGCTTGCGGTACGGGAGTCCAACTGGCCGAGTACAATCCGAGCACGTCGAAGGGCCACGAGATCCTTTCTCAGGTCTATCAGCAGAGCGCTCTACCGCTCCGGTTGGTCCCCGTGAAGCCGCGCAAGTATCCGAATCGACCGAGCAAGACGCCGGTCCACGAGCGGCCTTACGCTTGTCCGGTGGACGGCTGCGATCGCAGGTTCTCTCGCAGCGACGAGCTCACCCGGCACATACGCATCCACACCGGGCAGAAGCCGTTCCAGTGTCGCATCTGCATGCGCTCGTTCTCGAGGAGCGATCACCTGACCACCCACGTGCGCACGCACACCGGCGAGAAACCGTTTTGCTGTGATCAGTGCGGCCGAAAGTTTGCCAGGAGCGACGAGAAGAAGCGCCACGCAAAGGTACACCTCAAGCAGAGGCTGAAGCGCGAGACGTCCCACGCTAATCCAAGAACCCATCACCAGAGCCACGCGTCGTCACCCTGCAATCAATGAATTCCATGACAACGATGTTGAAAAAGTCTCCCTTTAACGTTGAGATCTCATTACGTTTGTCACGTTCTGACAAGTTGTGATCTATGTCTCCCCGATTCTATTTCTCTTCCCTATCCTCCTCACCGTTCCCTTATTTCTCGCCTCTTCTCTTTCCCCGACCATCGCTCGCTCTCTCTCTCTCTCTCTCTCCTTTCCTGCATCTCTCATGATGACCGATGAGGAAATCGCGGAAATCTTTAGGCGGTCAAAACTGATCCGTCGCTGACTGATCCGTCATTTATCGTCGGTCCATTAACTCTTTATATTATCTTAAGGATATAGCTGGATACAAATTAATTGAATCTCACGAGCAGCACAAGACAAATTCTTTCCGCTATCTAATAAACAATTTGCTCATTCTGAAAGTTATCATGTGAAGGAAGAAAGAATTAAATGTCGTATATGTAATTCTTATCATTCGCGAGAGGACGATTAACTTCATATATTTTAAAATAAAACGAGAATAAGAATACGATTTTCTCATTGTACATACGAAGATAACGTTTCTTGCGTCATAGCGAAAAATCGAAGTACTTAAAATATCCTACACACAATCTGTGCGATCATTGAAAACGGACTCGCAGTTGAATGGAAGCAACCACAATGACATGGAAGTTAATCGTCCGATTATAAAAAAAAAAAAAATCCCATTAATAGAAAAACGACAGACGTTATTCCGCTTTACATGTACTTCGTGTTTTAGCTTGTATCCAGACACATATACGAAATATGAATTATCTCTCTCTCTTTCTTTCCCCTCCTCGCGATATTCGGCAGCATATCTAGATACCATTGAGCGTGGCAAGAGCATTTTCGTGCAATTGTATAACACGAAATCGATACCATCTGCAGCTTCCGGGAATCGTAGAGCGAAGCGGAAGATAGACAGATAGAGAGAAAGAGAGAGAGAGAGAGTGAGCGAAAGAGAGGGAGAAACGAGAGAAGGGATGGGGGGTGGGATGAGGAGGAGCAATGCGTCTCGTTGCATGCGAACGACTGTGCGAGAATGTAATGCCACGTAAGACGATAAAGTGTTATGTATCGACTCGTTCCATGGTCAATATGAGAGAAGCGGGACTCAATGTTTAAGATCATATATTTCGTTCCCTACCCCGTCCCCCACCCCCCTCACGTTAAGAGTGCAATTTAAAAGACTCACGCGGTTCGAGTGCAATTCCCATGAAATTCATATTTCTATGGAGCTGTATACTTGTAGGTAGGTCTGTGCACAAGGATTGTTGACAAGCTTCGCGGCAACGGAAATAGAGATATTTTTTTATTAAGTATATTGTACATAACTATGATTCACACACTGAATCTCTCTCTCTTTCTCTCTCATACGCAAAATACGAAAAAAAAGTAAACGGTCAAGACAAAAAGTATTTATTTTTGAAAAAGATTTTACGGAATTGCGTTAGAAAATGTTTAGGTGCTAAAAAAAAGGGAAAAAAGAGAAGTTCCTCTCTTCTTGCGATAAGATGTTGTTAAGAAACTTAGTTTCGACGATTGTTAAATTTTTCCCGAAGCTACGTTTCCCCGCCGGAGAAATTGTGCAATGTATTTTCATAAATTTTCCCCGTCAAGTTTTAATTTCGTAGCAGCGTCAGCAGCGATATAGCGCTTCTTTCCCCACCACCCTCCACCCCTTTTTTAAACCGTTCCCGTTGCCCTTACACCTGCGTTCGCGCGCTGTATTTTCTTCGTGCTCCGAACACGCTAAATCTCGGCTGTCTCCCGTCAAATACTTCCAATTCGCTATCATTCTTTCGCCTCCCCTCACCTCCCCCTCCTTCCCTCTCCCGCATTACTGTAAAAAAATTCCACGAATAATTGTAATTAAACGTGATTATCATTGTTAAAAGAAATATTTCTTGTACATATGTATATAACTTATTATACATAATTGCTGTATGTATGTAAAATCTAACGTTCTCTTGCCATTTTCCCTTCCCACCCCCTCTTCCCATTCGCCCCTTTCTTTTCTTTTCTTCATTTCGCATTATTATCCCGTACGTGTATACATATATTTAGCAATTGTTAATGTTATGTATATGTTGCTCTATTTATTAACAAGATGACTATATCAAATGAATATATTGTTAAAGTTAAATAATTATTTTTATTATTGTAACGACTCTATTCTGGCGTGCAAATGCGTTGCAACAACATGACAGAAGTGACATGGTGTCCAAGCTTGTATGAATTATAAACGTTTAAGTCGCATATGCGTACACGCACGTACACATACATACACCCACATTTAGATACACGAAACAAACACGCACACACACACACACACACACGTCATATGCGAACGTGATGATACGCACTACATAAATTGTAAATGCAATGTAATGCAAGCGCGTCCCCGAGAAAATACTTTTTTTACAGATAGTATTATCCTATCGCTAGATAAATTATATGTAATTATTATACATATTGCGCTCCGAGTGCAATGCACATAACAAAAGCTCTCAGCTACCTGTATATTCGTGTTGTCATCATCGCCCCTGCATATGCTTCTCTTTGCAAAGCGGGTAACGCGAACAATCTTGCAACAATTATTAACAGAAATACAATTAACATATTGACTCGAGGCCAAGTTGTTCTGATTATTTTCGTAACCCTTTCACAAGAATTGTATACGAACTTGTTACGAAGAATGGGATTAAACGATTGGTGCAGGATGCATTCCTTGAACAATTTGAAGTCGATTTTTTTTTCGGTCAACATTTTATCGTCAACCAAGCTTTAAATTCAAATTTTGCGTTACTGTAAAGTTTGCTTAAAATTATAAGCAGAATTTTATTTATATTTTTATTTTCTCTCAAATCTAAAAAAAAAAAAAGATTTTTTTTAAAAATGAAGAACTATCGGCGTATCGATATTTTTACTGAAAGAATAGTTGGCTTTATGTTGATCAAGGAACACATACCGTCGAGTTTTTAAACACACTTAAACCTTTTCTTAACGCTCTGTGTAACAAACACAAAATGTATACAACAAGCTCACGGGGCATTGGTCCACGCACGATCGTAAGCATTCCGATAGTATTAAGGCAAATTAACCTCAGTGAAAATCTGAAAGTTCGCAACGTTCACTCGATTTTGACTTGAAATAAAATTTGGATCCAATTATAAAATGTCAAATAAAAATATATCATTTATAAAACTTTGTGTCTTTAACTTGAAAACCATTTACGAGAATTTAACTGATTTTATTTGGAAAGTAATTTTCCTTAATAGAGATATCGATATTATAAATATGAAGTTTATAACATGTGTTCGATTAAAGGAAAAAATTTTCATAGAGACTGCGCCATTAGATAGTATACGTAAATGATAAGATTTTATTGTTCGACTTCTTTTATATATACAATAAGCAGACTTTATATAACTTTAATCCGAGGGAGGCAGAAATGCTCGTGACATTTAATATGAAAATTTTCAAGTTCGCAGGAAGATGTTTAATAAAATTTTTGGTAAAAAAAAAATTATTTCCATGTTTAACAAATATTGCCCTATTCAGCGAACGCGCCCGCGCTCGTGTGCGTCACACGGGACGTGTATATCCCAGGTACAGTATCATTTCGCTTTCATACAGTGCGATGCTTATTGGAGCTCCTGTCTGGCGGCATAACGCCAGAGGTGGCCATAAGAAAGGGGGATTTTTTAGTAAGTGAGAGTCTCACATAACCCTGGGTGGCCGGCCCCCAGGGTATGCATAATGCATTTTCTCCTCCTGCCGCAAAAAAAAAGTGTTATTTCGCCGACGAGAAGAAAATGTCAGAGTTGGTTTCCGATAGAAATTTAACAGGGATTTAATTAAATTGACGAATTTAGCCGCGGGGTCGTGACGGAACCGCGAAGGTTGAACTGCTGGCTGGGGAGAAACCGGCGTCGCGCGCGTTCGCGAAACGCGCCCGGCCGCGCCGCGAGGATCAGGACGCGCGCGGAAGGCGTTACCTCAACCTCCGCTTCGTCGCGAAAGCGTCTCCTCGGCGAAATATTCGCGACCGTCCGCCGCCGTAACGCCAGACAATTGTTTCGCGGTTTGGATCCGGACGCGATCGATCTCTCGCGCGCTCCGGACATCTTACACGGTTTTGGCTACCCGACTCGGTAGCACGCCCGTAAAAAGAGAGAGACAGAGGGAGAGAGAGAGGAGAGAGAACGCGCGATCCAGCCGCTACATATATATAGGTATACAGGCACCTACATAAGAAAGACAGTGCGCGAGCGACAGTGGGCACGAGTGAAGCTGAGAGCACGTCTATAAATAGGACCGAGAGCGAGATGAAGCCTCCTCTGCACTTCGCGGTATACCTTCCGCCGCTCTCCGTCTCGCCGCGAGAAATCCCTCCGAGGACTCTCCTTCCTTTTTTTCCTTTCCCCTTTCTTTTTTTTTCTCTCTTTCCGTGTCTTGCCTTACCTCTCGTTCTCCTCCGCGTCCGCGCCCGTATAACGTCGCGCGTCTACCTCTTTCTTTATCTTAATAGATATCTGTCCCTGACTCTCGGGGCTGGACGGTCCCGCTCCTTTTTTTTCCTCCTCCTCTCTCGCCACCCTTTCTTTCCGCTCAATAAAGTCCTCTTCTCTATTTCTGTAAGTGAATGAAAAATTGATAAAAGGGTATTTCGTCACGGATATAAATCGGGACTTCGATCGTATACGACATTTATGATACATTTCGGATAAATATAAATCATCCGAGGTATTTTAATAATAAAATCTTCCCTTCGACTTTTTAAAGTTCTGAACACCTGTTGTCGAGGCAAAAGTTGGAACTTTCCAGGATGTGCTCCGGTATGAATAAACAATTCCATCGATTACTCGTTAAACAACGAAGCGGCGGCGGAGCGGGGATGGGGGGGGGGGAAGGGTTGCACAATGTTCCGCGTTGCACGATCTTACCCCACGGTTTCGGGGAACGAGAGAGAGAGATAATTCCCGGTATATCACGCGAACTGAACCGGGTTCGTGATATTTTTCGGAATTAGAGCGCGCTGATATTAAAGTGAAAAATCCCGGCGGTGGGCGGCGAGGGGGAGGAGGAGGGGAGGCAAAACCGGCCGGGGTGCGCCGGTGTCGTTACTCCGTTACGTCGCAGCATCCGCGAAAGGCCCCGCTAGGGGTTAGGGTCACGTCACAGCGAACGGAAGAGTAGGAGGAGACGGGAGAACGAGAGAGAGAGCGAGAAAGGGAAACGGCGGGGAGAGTTCATTGAGCAACGGCACGTGTACGCGAGATAGAGAGTGCGGCTGCGATATGAGGTGGGATAAGGGTGGGAGGGGGTACGGCGGAGCCGAGCACGGCAGGCGGCGGCGGTGGCGGCGGCGGCGGCAGTAGGGCGAAAAGGGGTTGCCAAGCGACCATAACCGTGGGTTGCCCTTGGCGACTAGTTGCGTCACTGCAGCGTCGCGTGACGTCACGCGACGCCACTGCCCTTGACCGTCGGGGATGACACTGGGGAGAGCGTCCTGGCGACCCTGCCTGCAACTCCGTCCCGTCCTACCCCCTCGTCTCCCGCGTCACTCTCGCTCCCTCCCTCCCTCTCACCCGTCGTTCTCCCTGACACTGGGATACGCAGGGATACAAGTCTATATATAGAAGCGAATTTCACACACACACATATACATACACGTAGCGTGTGTCGGAACGCACGCGACTCACCTTTCGATCGGGGGCTGGAACGCAGCCCTTTCCCTTCCCCTCCCCCGCCCCCCCCCCCTGATACGCATCGCGTATCGCGCGTTGTGTTTTGACACGCGACTCGAAATAGCATTCGCGCGCCTCCCGTCGGTGCTATTTTCGGAATTATGGTGCCCGTACGGTTATTGTTACGCTGGCGATGGATGGATAGATAGATAATGAGAGAGAGAGAGGGGGAGAGAGAGAGAGAGAGAGAGAGACCGGAGCCGGCGGCGAGTGCGACAGGCGCTCGCGTTTGCGAGAGAGCCCTATAGCCGGTAATCGATTGACGCGGGTTTACACGTCGCGTGCAATATTTATAGAATGACGCGCGCGCGGGGCTTGTTTAACGTAATGCGGGCTCACTTAATACAATCCCCACTTGTCAATGACGACAGCCGCCTCTCTTTCTGCGACGGCTTTCTCTGTTTCCCATTTTTTTTTTTTTTTTTTCATCAATTCATCTGCTCCCCATTGCCGTTCGTCGCGTTTCCGCGACTCGTTTCTACTTCATAAGTTGGAGAAACATCGATTATCGAGAGAGAGGATGAGGTTCCCCGTCGATTTTCGTGGGTTCTTTTACATACTATCGACAGATAGCTTATCGTCGAAAATTTGGCTCGTAAGCACGGTGAATTTTATTTCAGGCGTTTTCTATTACGATAACGCGATAACGACAAGCGCAAGATACACGGAGAAACGCGTTTTATCTCGTTCGGGACCCGACACAACTATATATCCTGCTCTCCTGATCTCGTTGTTTTCCCCATCATCCCTAGATGCGCCTGCGAGATGTTATTTCCCCCTCCTCCCCTCCCTCTCGCCGTAATTATATTATAAAAAGATCTAAATAATGAACGACGCCTATAATTAATCGCTTTACATGGTTACGAGGGATATCGATTACTTATACAAATTAATCTCGTCTCACGAGGAATTATGTATCGAAAATCCATTGATGATAAGTAGCTTGATCGTGAAATACGATCGTATCGTCTTCCGTTTTCTCGTGTATAATTAATAATGCCGTCTATATACGCACGCGCTTTTTGAACAATCCGAACTTGGCCAATTTTTAAATGCTTCTCTTGAAAATACATAAAATAAAAATAAGGCAGATATTTTATATATCCTTTTGCTCGATCATATACGTATAACGCAGCTTCTACGTAAACATGCACTGAGAAAATAGATGGGGAGTTGAAAAATGTACATGTCTCATAGTTTTAATATATATATATCGTGATAAAATTGTTACATGATCTCAAGAAATTTTTTTTTTACAACTCATCGTGTTGAGTTAAAGATAAATCTTCAGCGAGAAATGGGAAGGGTTTGTTTTTCAAGCCATTTAAGTGCCTGAATGTTCTCCGGTCCTTGTAGCAAAGGTTTCAAAACCTCCAAACACTTTACATGATAATTATTTAAATATTCGATCTGGAATAAGATACGTTGTGAAGCGTAAGTGAAATATTTTGAAATAAAATAAAAAATATGTGAAAATGTGCGTACCTCCTTGTCCGTAAGCATTGATACATCGAGCAGACTCGTTTGAATAGGTACAAGCGTAACGGTTTCGAAAGTCAGAAAACCTCGATTTTTGTGATTGTAAGGTGTCTTCGCAGGAACAACTAACTCAATGTTCTCCAATCTAATGCCAAACTTCCCGTCTTCGTAATATCCCGGCTCTGCGTTTTAAGATACATGTTGCGTTCAATTGATTCAATTGATTACGTAAATGACATTCTATCTACGTGCTTTTATCATACCGTTTGATAAGAACATTCCCGGTTGTAAACCTGGGTCGTCTGGATGCGGTTTCCACGAGATACCAATCGGCTCTTCGTGGACATTGAGATAGGATCCTACTCCATGGCCGGTACCGTGAAGATAATCGAGACTGCAAAATTAATTCGCAATTAGATATCAGGAGAATCAGATTTTTCTCACGTAAAATAGTATTTTCTGTGTGTTGTAATATATTTTAATAAAAATCTTCATGTACCCAACGCTCCATAAACTTTCGCGCGCCAGGGTGTCGAGGTAATTCCCTTTCGTTTTCAAGGGGAATATCATTGTCGATAGTCGGCATTGTCCCTTAAAAACTCTGGTGAAGCATTCACGTTCGAAACTCGTGGGCTCGCCAAAGTGTAACGTTCTCGTTACATCTGTCGTACCATCGTGATACTGTGCACCAGAATCACAGAGATAAAGTTCTTTGTCTGTAATAGGCACATCAGTCTCTGCCGTAGGTGAATAATGAATAACTGCTCCGTGAGGACCGACAGATGAGATAGTGGTAAAACTTAATCCGACGAAGTGAGCTTGTTCCCTTATAAAAAAAAAAATAATTTCTTGTATCTACGTTATATACATTTTACATTGTAAAAAGAGTCGCTTCGTAAAAACGTAATCAACTTACTGTCTAAACTTTTCCAATCGTGTCGCACCGGAGATTTCCGTGATACATTCGTTCGTGTTCTTTATCTTATCTTCTAGCCAAGCAAAATATTTTACAAGAGCGGCCGAATCTCTCACATGCGACGCTCTCATGCCCTCTATCTCAATAGAATTCTTTATCGATTTCATGACGCTAAGAGGCGTAATATCCGTATGTTTCTTAATATCCCCGCATAGGGCGTGTAGCGCAAAGCTGGATTTGTTGCTGATCCAAATTTTATCTTGATCCGTACACGAATTCACGAGCTCCTTCATGTAAACATATAAATCTTCGTAGGGGTGAAAGATTGGCTCGACACCCTCGTTCTTCAGTTGCTCCAACGCCTCCTGGCTAACTCTACTTCTGTCTATAAAGACATATACGTCTTTCAAGGTGAGAATAACGTATGCGAAGAAGACTGGATTGAAAGGTATGTCGGATCCTCTCCAATTTAGCAGGTATGCAATCGCATCCAGCGCGGTTACCACGAGCATCGTCGCGCCCTTCTCTCGCATAGCGTCGCGACACAATCTTACTTTGTCTCCTGCACTCTGGCCCGAGTATCGTAACGATTGCGGCAATATTATATTGGCCGTTGGCGCCGGTTGCTCATCAGCCCATACTTTGTCCACCAGGTTCTCAAGAAGTGGAAGTAAGCAATGTCCAGCGGCGGCTAAGATACTGTGCAATCGCATCCACTGTGTATAACTTATTAGAACAGCGTCCGCTCCGACTGTGGATTTCGGAGGTAAATTCGAAGCCAGCCATGCGCCGATGGTAGGTGTATCCAGTAAACCTTCCCTCATCAAAGTCCACGCCTCCGGCGGGTCCAATTCCGACATGGCTTGCTGATAATATCTCCCATCGGTCCACAGCAACGCTGCGTGGTGCATAACGACCACCGTGCCGTAGGAACCACGGAAGCCGCTGATGAAACGTCGCCTCTGGTCTCGCTCGGTGGAATACTCCGACTGATGCGCATCCTCGCCGTTGACGATCAGAGCCTGGATACCCTTCTCTCGTACACCTTGAACGTTCCTCATCAACTCCCGAAGCTGGGTCAGCTTCCAAAGTCCGTCCCTTCTTACCATCTTGTCAACAAAGAAAGCTTCGTTATTTTTGTGCCCAACGACGGCAAATATGTAATCAATGAGAATCACCCAGGTGCCTTACCTTTTGCGAGATATCGTTCAAACGCTCCTCGTGTCACTCTACCGACGCATCTGTCACGTAGAAAGTAATAAGGATTCCTGTTGTCGTCTCCGGAGAGCCACGTTATCTAGCAGTATCGCGAACACTCGTCTCCTGTTGTCCTTTTAAAAGATCAGCTATCTTATCGGCGCGATAAGAGAAAGCGATCGCACGTTGCCAAACAAGTCCTTATCTTCTCGGATACAGATGCGCGGTGGAGAACGTGCTTCGGGGTGGAGGAACTCCGCTGGCTCCGCTACGCGGCCGACAACGCGTCCCCCAGCACCAGCTCCCGGCGCATCATATGTAGTTGTAGCTTCGGTGGCCATGTGGGTCTCGCGGAGTAGTTTCGATACTCCGACTCCGATACCTCGCGATACATCGCGAGCAAGGAGTGAGGAGGCCAACGACATGGCGCGGCCAATCGAAGTGCGCTACGTAGCCTCGCGAGTTCGGCTGTGAAATTTTCCTTCAAAATTTCATCTCACGTTCCGAAGTTCCGTTTTCCGTTCAGTCGTTTCGTCATTTCTATGTCGATCGTAAATAATTCTGACAGTTTTGGAAATTGCACGGGTCTCGCCGGTTTCGAAACTTGTCAGGGGTCTCCTTGAGGAAAACACAAAAGTCAACGCGGTCGTGAAGATACGAATCGGGATACGAACATAATTAGAACGCGTTGAAGGAGGGATTTTTTAGGTTAGAAAATCCATCTTACCGGTTGAACAACGGCGGCGGTATGCACGAATTGCGCGCGATTTTGTAATGAAATTGATTATGTTCCTCGTCCATCTGATCGAATTATTTTATATGAAAATAATATTACAAATTGTTGAGGTTATGAGCTAACTATCCTGCCTTCTATTTCATTAAAGTGAATAAATTATTCTGAGATACTCCTATTCCATTCATGCAGAATTTTGAAATGTTAGAGTGACATTTAATCACTTGAAACCAGATTCAAGATAATCTTAAACATAAGATCGGAGCACAAATGCTACCCATATAATTTACTTTAATAAAAAATTGCTTTTAATTTTATTCTATTCTTTTTACAGTTTCAAGCGGCAGCTTCGATTCCTCAGAATCTTTTTTTACATACGCAACGAGAAACGTCAAGCAAGCACATTTTCAGCGTAACTTGAGAAGTGAATTATTTTACACATCTGTATTAATAAAAAAAATGGATATTTAAAATTTACTCGCAGAAGACTCTCGTAGAGATGTGACACATCTTCCAGTGTTCTAAGGCTGATTATCTCATCAAACGAAATATTGCGTCATATACTACATCGTAATGATACGTAACCAAAGACGGCAGCAGGCCCTGCAGAACGGGATATTCTTGCTGGGTATGCAGATTCTGAATTATGGGCTTGACAAAGTACCACCTGCTACTCTAATTGGAGTCATCGCGCAGGTAATTTTTACCATAAACATTTTTTATAATTTTAACAATCTGACTCCATTATTCTATAATTTTAAACCCAGTTTGCTTTAATTTTCATAAAAGAATTGAATCCCTCTTTATAATATGCAGCTTTTACAAGCAGCCGAGTAGTATTGTATTTATAGAGCGCACAAAATAATACATATTCACTCTCTTTCCAGACTTTACTGTACGCTGGACTGATACGGGTGCCGTGGAACGCGGAGGACGTATGTATATCGGCTGTGAAAATAATTAAGTACAAAGACTGGCAATCATTCTTCTTTTCAAATTTCGAACATGGATCCGACATGCATCTGTACTACAACATGCTTTCCTTCATTCTGAAGGGCTCCTACTTGGAGCCCATCTACGGAACGATAAACTTTGCACTTTTACTCGTTATATTATCCATCGGATGTAGCGCTATGTATGTATCCCTAGGATACATACTGATGCAGTTAACGGCCGATTATGGATATTTCACAGCTTGCGCCATCGGCTTTTCTGCCACGTTATTCGCATTGAAAGTCATCGCGCTGTGCGAAGAACGCGACAAATTGCACAATATTAGTGGATTTGTAGTACCGAGTAAATTAGCGGTGTGGCTTGAGCTGATATTGATACACCTATTGGTCCCAAATTCTTCCTTCATCGGTCACCTGGGTGGTATTTTAGTTGGATGCTTATATTCTTATACATTTGTTGGAGAAACGATCGACAACTTGATACACACAATAACTGGCACACCTATTATACATGAAGAACAATTTTATAGAAGACGAAACAGGCTAATTGCATAACATTTTGTAATTTTCATCGATTATATTTGCGGCTCTAATTTAATGTATATATCATATATCGAATCGGATCGTTACATAAAAAATAATTCTATGGAGTACAACTAGAGGGAGGTTAATTTTAAGACTTCTGTGGGCCTGGATAATAATATATAACATATAGATATATTAATGTACGAGTATAAATATTTTATACAGATATATTATAATTATTTTGAATTTGTTACAGTTTATTTAAAATAAAGCCTATATTGATGTATTTTTTTTCTTATTTTGACCCTAAATTCAATCCCTGAAGTATTAACATATGCTATGTACATGTGTTATTTCTCAATAATTTGTCCTTTTTAATTGCTTTATTCGTAAGATTTTTATTCTTTATTATCATGTAAATTTTATCAAATATTCAATGCAAAAATTATAAATTATTTCACATAGCTAGATATTGATGTGCAATAATGTTCTTAGTTTGCAAGTATAATAAATAAAAAGATTACGATGACTTTGACGACAAAAAAAAAAAATAAGATCTTGTTCAACCATTTTCAACGTTTTTATTATATATATAGTACATGTATTTTTATATTAAATAATGACTTTACATAATGACAGTTTAAACCTTTAAACTGTCTGTAAAATCTTGCGCAATTTATACAGTGTAATATTTGGTGTACTAGAAGAACACTGCGTTGTCGTAACCGAATTCACTAAAAAAAAAAACATAGAAGAAAGTAAAAGACATTTTTATCAGTGCAAGAACAAAAAACATATATATGCCTGTAGAAACTTACAAATTGATTTATCCTCGATCGGATATGGTATGCCATAGAATATAAAATATGCACACATTTTAGCTAGAGTTGTGGTATCAGCCTGCACCATTCCGTTTGTAAGATATTCTTTAAACACAGATTTCATTTCTAAAAAATAGAAAAAAAGTCAAATATAACAAAATTAACAATAAACCATTGAAATGTAATGCGTTAAAAAATACCGTGTTCCCATTTATCCAAAATGATCGCTGTTTTCTGTTTAATCGCGAGCATACTTTCTATGCTGAACAATGGATTTTCGTCATCCGCAAAGTTGTTTCTTCTCGATATTTGTGACGAAAGTAGCTTTATTTGCCATATCGCAAAGCTGTTCGGTTGTTCCTCAATAATTTTTATACTTTTAATTATGTGCAACCACGATGGTATAAGACTTACTTTATCTTTTGTAATGCATTCGTACACAATTATTGCGAATATATGAAGAAAGTACTGTTCAAATTCTGGCATTTTGCATTGCACATCTGTAAATTTACAATTATTCGATAAAAATATCGTTGTGTAAAATACACAATCGAAAGAGTTACGAGATCTAGCATGGAAAAAGAAATGTATCAAGAGAATCTCTTAATTTGTGAAATAACTAGTAATAGTACAATCTCATTCTTTTTCATGCCGAAAATACCGTATAAGTTATAAAAAACTACGTAAAATATTACAGATATATTATCTGTTAATCTTGAATTAAGATTTATATTTAAAAAACACAATCAAATCGTACCGTTTTGCGATGAATACTTGATACATTCGGAACGAACCATTCCTTTTTTAGACCATTGCAAAAAATACGTCACTATGTTCAACACAGTTTTATCATTTGTAAACGATGTGACATGCTCTGGCCGTGCAGCCCATGCGATTGCATTTTCTGTTGTTAGAGTTTGAGCCACTAAGCTTCTAAAACCCTACAAAATAAAATAAAATACTTATCAGTGATATTTACAAAACGTCTAACAAATTAAATATAACTTTAAGTAATAATGTATTACATGAGGATCTTCCAGATACGATAAGCAACCAGCTCTCTGCTTGATACTTAAGAAATCATGTCTTTCCAGCATGTTTTCTAGTTGCTGCCAATTGTGATGTTTTAAAAATGTAATTTTCCAGTATCTTGAATCTTTCAATTCAATTTTCTTCAAACTACATAACTGTGGTAATAAACAGGGCGCTTGTAGACTGATCTCTTGGCCTTCGGCTTCTTTGTCAGTCTCGAATGTTAAATGTATTGTCGCGTAACAATACTGACCAGTATCTATGTCTCTCGGTAAGATAATACGTGGTTCAGCTGCTAACACATATAAGTGCCGCAACGCTTGTAAATGATACCTGTTGAAGTAATAACACTGTTTAGATACAAAAGTTTATTGTCTAAGAAATTGAAAACGAATGATTATAAGAATAACAGTTTACAAACCTATTGTCATTGCTGTGGGTTGGAAACTTTGGGAAAAGTGAAATTATAAGAGCGGCAACTGCATTCGGACTGTTAGAAAGTGTATATCTTCCACCACCCAGAAAAAGGAGACCAAGAGCCATGTGGGTTGCCAGATGAGAACCGTATGTGACTACGCCGCTGGCGGGTCCTATGCGAGTGCGTATGTGTCTGCATATCCTCATAATCTGCATAGTTATGTATAGAATTATAGATCGTCAATAAGTGTTCCATGATTAGTCATTAAATATCAAGACTTACGTCTAAATTGCCGGTGCCCGCCATCACCACGGCGGTTGAAAGCAGAACAACGTTTAGGCATGTTTCAACGGTCGATTTGCCAGCCAATTCGGCTATAGTTTTGTGCGACAACGCCGTGAACATCTGAGCGTAATTATACAAAGTCTTGAAAGCGTTCTTATTGGCAGTGCCTGCATATTTCAGTCCCAGTGCCATACAAGCACCCGCTATAATGTTGCAGTACGCTTGGCTATAAATTGTATCATAACAATTACATAAATTTCTACATCAGATTATGGTAAGAGATACACAGATGCTTTTTCAAGAAGATACGATCGCTTACTTGATAGTTTCCAAATCCACGTTCTGCGTGACTTCCGGCGTAGGCTTTTGCAATCTGTATTTATAAACGATATTCGGCACATGACTAGAAACCCACAACTTGGTTGGCTCGATATCGTCCCACAAGATCAGCGACTTGGCGAGCACTCTTAACAGTAGGAAATCTGGCCTCACAAATTCTAATAGATACTGTGTATCGGGTGGCTGCATCCATTCGGCTACCGCACGATTTCCGGTATTAAAATACATTAATCCTAAAGCTATCGTTGCTCCTGGGCTTGTTACGTCGATATTTATCGAGTCACCTTCACGTATCTGATAACTGCAAACAAAGATACGGATTTATAAATTGTTCGCGTGGAAAACTTTCCTATATTACTGATTCTATTTTATTAACGTGCAGAAAAAAAATTGCAAATATTTTTTGCAGAAAAGGTTTTAATTTTAAATCTTCCGAAACAAATTTCTTCGAATTAGAATGTTTTGAATTGCATGGATTTTTTATTCATTATATAGAAATTCAGTGTACCTGGGAGACTTGTATTTATCTTTCTGTGCTCCAGAAAAAGGTCTTATGTGCCCACCGACCATGTAATAGTGTAAAGTATCAGGTATGCTTGCAGGTACATCTGTTCCACCACCAGAGCCAAGTACTACCAGACCTAATGCTAATCCCGCTGCCAAGGAATATGACTCGCGGTCCACACAGTTTTTCATTTCAGGTCCTGGCGGCCTGCCTATAAATAAATTCATATATCAGCATACATATTAATGAAACTTATCTTGTTTATCGATAGACAATTACCAATCTCAGATAATAAAGCATGCGAGATATGTCTGTGCGCAGTTCCTTGATACACCAGACCAACTCCCATTAGTGCCGCTACTTGGACATTCTGTTGTACATTTAATTCGATACTCGTTGGTGGCAGGAGCGTTTCCACGTGTAACGATAATAATTTAGTCATAGATACGTTCATCGTGCCACGATGCGTTGCTGATAAGCCCAGCAAAAGTCCAACGCTAGTGGCTTCGTGACAATCGGCTAGATATTCGTATGTACTTAAAGGAGCTAAGTTCTTCAAATGTCCGTTTAAACCGAGAGCCATCAGAAATCCTGAGTGTTCTACCCCATATTCACCCTGTTGCTGTTTATTGTACACTATCCATGTCGAGTCGATGTTCGCAGCATCCGGATGAATACACAGGCCCGCAGCTATGCCGTTATGAAACAGCGGCCACAGATTCATGTTTGGCGGAACGTCTATGTGAGTTAACTCAACGGTAGTTCCACGGGGCGGTGCTTTGCCTAATAAAAACGATTAAAACAATTAATTAATCAATTTAAAAAATTAATTCAAGCCGTGATACGCAATCATACCAGTTAGACACAATCGTGGAATGGGTAATTGCTCCGTTATCATCGGGGTGGAAGTTCTCAATGTAAACATGCCTCTAGCCACAGGTAATGCCATTGTTCTCGTGCATAACGTGAGCAAGTGTCTTTCCTGCTCCTCTATAAACTCGTGATCGCTTACGTTCGATCTTTGAACTATCGCTATCCTCATTGGTTTCGAGGAATTAAGCAACCTTCGCACCTCAGCAATTCTATGATCCTTACTAAATCGTAACTTTAATATCTATCGAATGAAACAGAACGCGAGTTATGAGCATTGTAAAAAATATATACCTATGTCTAACATAGATTACAAATAATTTTGCAGAGCATTATATGCATGAGAAGAAACGCAAAAAAAATCTTATGATCAAATACCATATCATCAAATTCCATGCCGTCGTCTTGTTCATCCTTTATCGCGTAATCCCTCGTTTCGCCATCAGTATATTGCAATCTCGATGATGGTTTTAAATGCTTATCTAACACGGCTAGATCTTGGCGATCTATGAGTTCGTACACCTGCATAGGCCAATTCGACGGTGGACTTTCTCTACATCTGTGCATAACGTCTTTTATCATCAACGATACCGCAGGTGGCAATGTCTCGAGGTCTTCTTTTCTCATACCTAGGATCAAAATATTATTTTACATCTTTGGGAAAAGGATAATTTCTATAATACTCGATAACTTGCTGCAGCGTGATCATACCCATCTCGTGATATAATAATATTATCCTATCCGTTGTGGGTTTCTCCAATTTCTTCAGTATCTCTTTGTCAGTTTTGCTTCCGCTTTCTTGAAGATCAATACGATTTCCAGCAGGTACAATTAATTTGATATATTTCTCCATTTCAATTACATCAACACGATTTTCATTTGCTATAAGCGCGATTAGATACACTATATTTCTCGTTCTTGGATTAACGTGGCTTAAATACGGGAATGCAGTTACATCCGCTCCATCTAACATGATATTTAACGTTTCAAATATGCCTGGTGGTTTCCGAGGCATGTAACTTGGAAATGCTATTTTCCGCAGGTCTGAATCGTTGATTTGAGACTTCATGGTTTTTAGATACGACAACGAGGGTGAATCAAGAAAGTAATGATGAGCGTACATCTCGAATTTCAGATCCATGCTCAATTGATACAATAACTGCCCGAGCAACGGCAGACTTTCCGATATAACGCTGTTCAATTTCAATTCTTCGTACAAGAGATGAAGAGAAAATAAAATTAGTGGAAAATGTGGAAACAGGACGGCTTGTACATTTATTTTGCCAACGTTACTCGATTCTGCACTTGGAGACGTCGTGCCGAGAAAGTTTGATATCTTCTGACCCTTCAGCACATTCGAGGCAAAAGTTCGAGAATTTTTATATTCGTTCGAATTTAATATGTACAACCAATCATCCGTAGATCCACAATTGCTAGTCTTTTGCTTTTTGGGTAGCACCATAGGGCTGTTACGTTCTGTACACTGATCCTTTTCGTTGTTTCGCATCAGACGTAATTTTTCTACATCATATCCCAATAATGTGAACAGAACTATTAGAAAGAGATCCCATTCTTGCGCCGGCGAAAAGTCTTGTGGGCCTGGAGCATTTCTAGCGCCATACCATTTAATCAGCAATTGCATTGCTAAATCTTTTTGAAGAACGCTTCGTAACGTATGTAAACATTTAGTGACTGTAAAAAAAATATGTTATCTAAACTAATTACAATTACAAACTAATTACAAACTAATTTAAATTATTTGCAATTCTTGTAATAAACTTAGTTTCTTATATATCAATAAAATCTTTTTCGGATTTCATGTACTTACCTAAAGGCGATGTACTGGAAACAGGCAACGTTATACGAAAATATTGCTTTTTTCCGCATTCTACGGTTACCTCATAGGTTAACTCATTGCCTACAGTTTCTTTTAAAGCGAGAAAGCTTGTGTCCAGTAATGAATTTTCCAACAGTATCGGCGGACGAGCACAATTACCACTTACGGGACTCAGTAGGTGTAAAGCTTCTTCCAATTTAATTTCGTGCGAGGCTGTGCAGCTCTGAGAAATCAAGGAACTTCGTCTCGGAAATGGAGATCCAAGCTTATGATTACTATTTGACAAAAAGTAATTGTTGCCCGTAAAATTCGAGAGCATCCCAGGTATGTGCAATTTGCCCACGCATGTAACTCCTGTGTATAACGCTATTCCGTTTGACAAATCCACAATTGCTATCATGTGCAAATTCTGGAAGAAGCCAATTCTTTACGTAAGTTGAGTTATTTCAATTATCATATACATATCTTATGTTTTAAATGATTTCATGCTTTCTTTTGTAAGTTCTTTAAATAAGATAAATAAGAAATATGCTAAATTAGTTATATAATGTTGTTTTGTAATGTATGTGCATCAATATATACTAACCGATAAACTGATAGCATCTTTAGCCACAATGTTCGTTACCATCCCGAAAATGATCTGCTGTTGTTTGTTAGTCTTTTCCAATCTTACTAAGGACAGTTGCGAACGATTCGGAATCAAATAGCCCAAGTAATTCTGTCCAACAAGGTCTGATGTTAAAAAAACCTTAGATGCACGACCAGTATCTCTAAAAAATAAAAAAAAAAATGAATAAATAAAATTTCCTCATTATCTAAAAAATATAAATAAGTTTCTCCTTAAAGCTTCCCGAAAGCGTAGGCAATATGTCGCGGAATACTTACTTTGACAAACCAACGTTTTCTGTCCATACATGTTCAAGACAGATTTCGGGATACAAAGGTTTGCTCGCGGTTGGAATATCTTTCAATCGGATGCTATTGTAACTGACAGCTGGACTATGCGTTTGATTCAAGGCAGTTACCATGAGGGTCTGATGTAATCTGCTATGGTAGGTATTTGAGTTTACAGGTGCTCCAAGCAGAGGAGACATAGCCACCGAATGCGTAGGTGATTGGCAACGAGAAATGGTAGCCATCGAGCTTTGTGAACGTGAATGCTGTTGTTGCTGAGAAGGTGACGGCCCGCCCGAATTGGTACTGTAAGAGGTAGTACGCGATCCAAACGGAGTATTAGACAATCCTAAACTAATACCAGTGTTATTTATTTGTAAGCTTGAAATGCCTGCAACAGATACATTTCATTTAGCCATATCAATTTTTTTTATTATCCATGTTAATTAATTGTTATCTTTAGCAGTTTAACATCATCTTTCTTACCAAAAAGAAAGGGACTTAGAGGACCCTTATTAGTGCAGCTTTTGTTGGCGGATAAATTGCTGCCAACATTTAATGGCGACATATTTGTTGAATGATTGAATAAACTCATCGTGTCGTTACTTCCACAAACTATTTGACATTCCTCGGCTGACGCTTTGCGAATTTTGTAAATTGAATGCAAGCCCGTCTTCGTATCGTATACTACCGCAAAGGATGGCTCTGAACTAGTAAATATGATCTGCTGACTCGACTCGTTCATATACGACACAGATCCTAAAATTTTAGTTCAATTGTATGATAAAAATTAATCAGAACTTTCACATAAAATCAAGCAATTTTATACGTTAGTCTTCATATATAATTCCACAAAAAATTGTTTACCATGCTTAATAAGTAAAGGGCAAATTTCATCTAATGGATGCATCAATGAAAAGGCCACTGGTAAATTATTATCTTGTTGCGCTGGTAATCGGCTGCTTTCAAATGATACATATCTGAAAATAAAATAAACATATATGTTATAATTAAAATTTTGTCTGTGTAAAATAAAAACTATAAAACATAAGAACTATAAAACATAATTTTAAAAAATTATATATACCTCGAATCTGTAATTGGCACTTGAGACTTTTCAAGTATAATCCCATATTTTGTCGGCCAAACGGCGGAGACCTGTCAATTAATGTATTTAAAATTATGATTATAATGGCAAATTAGTATAAATCTCTACAATTCATTTAGTGGTTGTAATAATTTTTGATATTTGCTCAAGCATTTCATAATTTGCTAGGAACTTATGCAAAGCAAAGAAATACAATATCATCAAATACGTCTTTACTTTGGCTACATATTTTATTCCACACATAAAAAAAAAAGAAAAACAACAGATGTTTTACCTGAAATTGCAAAGCAGAAACATAGTCTTCGCCATTTTCTGTAAAAACTTTAAGAGTATAGGAGTCAAGCAAGCAAATACACTCTATAGATCTGTCGACTGACGAACCATCAATTTCATGTTCTTTACTCTTGGTCAAGTGATCCGGGATACTAGTGTGAAAGGTACACCAAAGCGCATGCTTAATATCCGTTTCACAAGTGTAAGTTGCTTTAAGCACTCGAGTAGTCTGATTTCCCTTACAGTGAACCGCTACTTTCCCCGAGTAATATAACTCTTCCTCCTCACATATTTTATTACTGCGTACCAACCATGTCTCTTCCTAAAAATTATGAAATTTTCATTAAATATTTCACTTCGAAGACTCCACATAGAGAAAAGTGAATTACGAGAGAGAATGGATGCCAGGGGACACAAGCCCTTTTCCAAATTTGATCTTATTTTCTATCGCATTAACAAAATGATATTCAAATCAATATATGTGTAACTAGAAACGTGTTTTGAAGTAGGCAACATTGCTACACAAACCCATTCTCTCTTTTTTGCTATAGTTGTTCATTTTAAAATCTTACAGGAGACTTATCCGATATATTTACTTCGCTAAATCTTTTTAATAGAACATTTTCTCCACCAACCGTTCGATTATTGGACAGCTGCTGACTGATCAGGGATCCAGGATGCTTTTCGATTATTTCTTGGCCACCTGGCTTGTATTCCTTTAAAAAAAAAAACCATCAAGCAGCTTTTATATTATCAATCATTTTTATAAATTACTGGGTTTTCGAAGATAACTGAGAGTCTCCTCTTACTTTATATTACTTTATAAGTAACGTAATTATTATCCATATCGTAAATCAGATAACAATAGTCGTTCATCTAACATAATCTAAAGGGTTAACTCGATACAAATAAATCGTTAATAAAGAAAATATCAACTTGAGTTGCAAAAGGCATGATTCGGGGACATTTTGATCCGCGCCGAGACGTCAGAACTGAAACTGATGTATCGCACCGTGACATTTCCTTAACCTTAAAGCAAACCGCTTTCGCTCGTGCTCATTGTTAACCGTACTTCCCCGATTGTCTCGATCCTACGGGACAAATAAATAATTCTAATGATTTATCTTTACCACCGGTTCTGAGGCGGCGATCATCCTCTCCCTGGTCTCATCCAGATTTGCTGGCTGTGTTTACAAATACCGCGAGGGAACAGTACCCACTTGGCTCAGGCTCTCTTTCTACACAGCGTCGCGTGCGAACGGTACGAGTACGAGGCGACGCGACGAATATACTCCGAAAATACCGAAAAAATCGTGCACGAACACGAACGCGATCCGCATCATCTTCGAACGATACCGCTCCGGGTATGCGTATGCAACGTGCAACGCAACGTGCAACGCGTGTATACACAGCTGGCTGTGAAACTGCGTTCAAAAAACACGACAAACGGATCGGCTTCCGGAAGACGAATCTGATTGGTAGATCCGAAGGTATTTTTGTAATTTTTCTTCACAGATATCTAATTTTTTTTTTTTACGAGTGGTTGAAAGCTGAGCGAAATATTCTCTGAACTTTTCATCTTTCTCTCTCTCCAATTGTTATAGATTGATGAAAAAGACCTGTCGTTTTTCTCTCAAGTTATTGTATTAAATTAAAATTAAACTAAACTTTTTATCTTTTTTTAGTTCTTAGTATAGAATTAGTTAAATTCCAAAAGTTGAATCAAAATTGAAATTAATCTATATACATTTGGTAGAAATGGATATAAAAAAAATAGATTTTATATTTATTTATTCTACTATTTCATACGATTTGGAGCCGAATCAGTGAGGAGTACGTGTCAGGACGAGCGGAGCAGGTTTTTTAATGTTATCCGATTGGTCGAAATTTACTTGTGATTTTCCTCGGGCCTAATGAAATTAGTGCGCGAGTGCAAGCGCAGAGTGTAGCAAATCGTGAGGTCGCTACGCGCCTTTTCTTATTTTCTCAATCTACACTGCACTCTGCTGCACGCTGCACTCTGCAGTCTCTGCAGCGGTCTCGTTGCGTTTTTCCTACGTTCGGTACAGGAGGAAGGGTGTTATGTGACGTTTTACGTGTCAATCCATGAACGCGTGCGTTTGCGATCCGCGCTAAATGGCTAGCTCGCTAAACACGGTCGACTGGGAAGGTAAGACTCACGTTCTGCCGAGGACGCAGCGAAACTTCGCGGATACCGTTAGACGTCTAAGGGTAGAAAAAGGGCCCCGCGATCTTTGTTTACATTGTCAGATGAGTGTCCCGAAAATGCGGGACCGTTCTGCACGTCATCCTAGATAATGACGTTATCTCGACGTCGACGATGCCGTTCGTGCCTCCGCGCGTTGCATTATTAGCGATGACACACCGCGTTATAAACATAAAAATGGAGCACGGCCTTTTCTTCAGGCCTTCTACACAGAAATTGCAGCTGAGTCACGCGGTTTGTTGTTGCAGATCTGAGGAAGCAGGCGAGGCATCTGGAGAACGAGATCGACGCGAAGCTAGTGGCGTTCAGCAAGCTCGGCATAAACACAGGTGCGAGATATGTCAGCACGGAGGAGGTACCTCTCCTGGACGAGGAACAGGTGTTCGAGAACATGGCGTCGGAGATCGAGACGCTGCTCTCCAAGGTAGATCCTCTTCATCTTTCTCCTCCCGTACGTGCGCGAGCACGTCAAACGGATGTACACTGATTTGAACTGACGATCGACGCAGTTGTTCTCCATAAACGAGAGGATGAGCGAGTTGCAGCCCAACGGAGCAGCTATGTTGCACACGATGCAGCGCCACAAGGAAATACTAAAGGACTACAAGCTGGAGTTCAACAAGATTAGAAATAACTTCACGGCTAGGAAAGACCGCGAGGACCTTCTAGGCAGCGTACGCAAGGAAATAGAGTACGTACAATTATGTCTGTCTTTGCTCGATGTACATTTGTATTTTATATCGATAAAAGCTAAATTAATCTTATATCTGGTTTATGTAGCAATTATAAAAGTGCGAGTGGATTGAATCGGCGCGAGATGTACCTCAAGGAAAACCAACATATTCACAAGTAAGCTAGTTTGATCTTGTTAATGTAATAAAATACATTATTAATGTCATCTTGAAAATATTGTATTAAAAAGTTTTTTAGATATTTATATTTTTTGCTGTATATTATCATATATATCTCTTCTTCTTTCTAGTTCCGACCGACTGATCAATGACCAAATAAGCATAGCGATGGAGACGCGGGATCACCTGATGACTCAGAGACAAGCGTTCAAACGTATACGAACCCGATTCAACGATATCTCCAATCGATTTCCAGCGGTGAACAGTCTGCTACAGAGGATAAATCTGCGTAAGAGAAGAGATTCTGTTATACTCGGTCTCGTCATCGGTGTCTGTACGTTTTTAATGCTTCTGTACGCCTTTCATTAAAGAATACCAAGATACTTCCATCTCCAGGTAGCGATTAACTTCACCGTGAATTTTTGCAATACGTTTCAGTAAAAACATATACATACGTTTAAGAGGTACTACGGAGATCTAATAAACACGTAGGAAATGTAGAATAATAGGGTATGTGAGATATTGTACATGTGCGTCGCGTGAATGATCGAGCAAGTGTACCTTCCACTTGCATTCGAGGTGCACGAAGAGAAGTTCGTCTGTATAGTTTTTTTTATACCGAGATACAAGACGTGGAGATAAACAATGTAAGCGGAACTTTCATCCACGTTCAAAACGTTAACTTATAATAAATGTTAAAAAATATGATAGTGTCTCATCTTTGTTTGTAATTGCGCCTATTATGTGGATTTGCTTGGTTTCCCGAATTATTTTAAAAGCAGAATACGAGGAAGATTATATATAGATATATCGCGGTTTATTTATATGTTTTCTTGTAACGATTAGTTTTTTTTTCTTTATAAGTAGGTTTTGGTGGACAATCATCAGAGACTTTGCGGTAAAATCATTTATATTTCATATTTGTATAAACCAATTGTTTTGCATTCTGCGTCACATAACACATTTGGTGATAACAATAAAAATAAAAGGATGTATGCTGATTTAGCAGTTTTTTCTTTGTTATGCGAAAAGGAAATTCAGCGTTGATCAATTTGGCTCGATAAAACACAGAATGGGATCTTTAAAAAGAGCTCTCGGACGCGAAAAATGGTGAGTAACGTCGTCGTTTCGGGTATAAGAATTGGTTTTACATACACAAAGACATTTATACATGCATATATACACGCGGCGCACTCGCTCTCACCCGTGAGTCATCCGCGAAAACACAGCACGTTACGAAAAAGGAATAAAATCATTTCACTAGAAAGCGCGACGCCTGTTTCCACGTGTACTAGATACCACATTTATAAGTCGCGTCTGGAAGATAGGAACTCAAGCGAGACGTAATTGTAAAAAAATATCGAATACAAAACGCGTCCCGTACATCCTAAAGTTTTTCCGCCTCCCTTACAGCCTCAATATATATATTTACATTTAGTTTAGCTTCGTCAGAGCTTCTTATAAATTACGTTACGACCTCCCGTATATTAAAATCCTGTGTCTGAATCCAATTGCCGTCTATCGCGCGGATCGTGAGACACCGAGCTCTGAATTGAAACGCGGTTCAATACCTTCGAATCGCGTCTACTTCCGCTTCCCGTATTTCGCTAAAGTAACGCAGCAATAATTAATATATCACGTTTTTACGAATAATTGATAATACCTAAAGGAATTAAATCTACGACGAGTCTCGCTCCAACGCTAAATGTCGCATTTTCCTCCGTTCTTTCGCCGATCGAAACAGTACCGATTATTCGTTATACGAATATTTCTATCAATCGGATGTCTCTTTTCTTCGATGGTATTCTTTATAAATGTAATATGTAGTTGTTATCCAGAAAAACGCGCGATGTTTCTACCGCGGAACGATTCTTTCCGACGAAGATAACTGTGGAAACAGGTGGATGACGAATCTCTCTTTTTCTCTCTCTCTCTCTCATTCCCTCGTCATACAGAGACGCATCACGCGCACGCTCTTAAGAATTAAATCACTAAAATGAGGATTCTAATCACGGCTTGATTCTATTTAACTGTTCAGACAGTACTCTACGCTCTAAGTCTGCATCTTTGAAGATTTATTATACCATTAGAGATGATGGATCACGAGGCCCATATCACCACTCGTCTCGAATCTTCGTTCAAACGTACAAACGGACAGACAATCTACATCCAATATACATGCAGGCCGCACTGGTTGCTAATTTATGCATCTGAATATAAATATATCGGCTGTAGATACTATTTTCTTCAATCTAAATTCTTTTTTCCATTTTTTTTTGTTTTAAGGCTAATTAGTTATAGGTGGAGATCGTCGGGAGACGAGGCGTCGTGTCTCGGACAATTTCGGAAAATATCTCGTTGAGGTATGTAGGAAGGTATCAGACACGGGACGTATCCCTGATGTTCCGTCTCAATTTCGTAAAATCGCGCGAAAGAATACAGGTGAACAAAATAAAAAATTATGACTCACTTGTCCGAGAGAAAAATAAAAGATTTTATGTATTATAAAATTATAACTTGAGAATATCACAAATACTTTCTTATTTTACTTTCATACATAAATATTTCGCCAACAGGTTAATCGATGATATTTATGATACATCGTATAAAGATTAGCAGTAGTTGACCCTGTCGGGAACATGACTTTTCTTACAATACATTCAGACATGTAGAACGAAACATAGATACATTTAACGAAAATGTATATTTTAACCGATTTATATTGTCGCAAAATAAAAAAAAAAAATAAAAAGGAAAATATAACTTGGCACTTGCACAGTAAATCACGTCTCACAAGTTCTAATCGGAATCGGTGGAATCGGAAAAAGCACATCCGCGATACCCATGTGATTACCTCGTCTCTCCAGATCTAGATAATATTAATGATAGTTTTGTAACGGTAGAGCACTAGTATTAATATATAGCTGTAGTAATTTATAGTAATAATGGTATAGTAGCAGTATAGTAACAGTAGCAGTAGTGTATATGCGTGTGTCCATGTGTGTGTGTGGTGTGTCTGTTAGCATCTCTTTAATTGTCGATCGATTAAACAAAAATCAAAGCTGTCGCGTATACCTCTATTACTTTCCGAAGAGGATCGATTGCACCGATCGTCTTGCTATTCTCAATTAATCTGTTCCTTCGGCAATTATCACGTTTAAATGGATTTACTGGCACTATCACGGTGAATAGTCGATGCTCTTCGGACGTTAGCGCTACGAGCTAGCTTAAAACTGAAAGTGTTTCTAAGTCGTATGGACTATTAATCAATTATACTCCGCGTTTCCTCAAGGAAAATACGTGCTCTGTCGTTTCTCTATGCGATTACGCTCGCTCGCGACACATTCGAGACAAATAGAGTCTGTATACTCAACTACGTACCACACGCTACATCCGTCTGCTAGAATCTCTGGGCGAAAATATGATTAATGGCGACGAGATAAAAAATAAACTTCTAATTATAATCAGCGTGACAAGGATATATGACAAAAGGATCTACTTAGAAATCTACATTGGTATGCGGCGGGTGAATGCTAAAATTTCTCGCGAACAATTGTATAGACATGACAAAGAAATAAGCAGCAAGTTTCTTAGCCTTGTCGATTGTTAATCGGAAGCGTTTACTCGTGTTCGCTGATTAACAGATTCAATCTACTTGGTAGCGCGTCTCAACGGTTTCAGGCAAGTAATATACGCGCTATCACGGCTGCGCTCGTTAATTAATTCCTCTTCTCGCATATGGACGAAAGGTTTAGGAAAAAAAGGGGTCTTCCTACAGTCGCGGCATGTTACGTCACGTCAAGAGCCTCTCTTGGTCCTATTTATATCTCTACAATGGTAAAGTAATTTTAGTAACTCGCGGAGATTATCGGGGAGGATAATCTTACCCTTGAAACGAGACTCAGCGCTTAAAACGTCTGCTCCTCCGTCTTCTCCGCGTCAGAGGAGAGCGCTTGACGCAATGACTCCATGCAAGATTTCGGGATAAGCGTCCCGACAATCTTCAATCCTTCATCTGTCACGAGAATGGAAAATTGTTAAAATGTTTTCAAATCTTGTCGGAACATTGATGTCAAACATTGGATAGTGAGCATAATCCTCAAGCTAGACTTACCCGTACGCAGCCGTATAACTTGCATCTTAGAATTATGCCCGGATCGTGCGGCGAGTACGTTTTCCACGCGGCTCCAAACGCTTAGAACTGAACCGGCTAATACATTATAGGAACGTCTTCTTAGTCCCACTTCGCAGTCTATACCGATGGTGGCGTTTTTACAGTTGCCACTCCAATACGCGTGCGAACACGTGTTTACGGAGGCCTCGTACTGTTGTGTCCAGTGCGGCTCCGCCTCGTCTGCGCTCACCTTCTTGTATTTCTTCTCTAATTCGCCTAGAGTCTCTTGTCGTAGTTGTAGACCCGTATTGGGCCTGACAAAACGCGATCATTAGCTTCCAACGTTCAAGAATTATTATGTTTGTTGATACACAATGGGATTTTAAACGACTGTACCTGTACACCATATAAAGCTGATCCTTCTTGCTTTCGGACTTTTTCTTGCCGCTGTCTACCGCAACCGCGAGAATGGCCGTCTGTTTGCCATTACGGATCTGATGACTCAGATAGAAACCCTCCTTGGATCCAGTCAGCTCTGAGAATTTGTCTGAAACTTCGGACCAACTCATACCGCGCTCGACGTGAACTACGTGCAGTTCCGTTGGTGCTTTGCCGGTTGCGTGCTTCCGCAGAAAACGGTAGAGTCGCACCCTACGAACGTTCTCGCCTGATGTGCCTAGATCAAGAATTCCCATGTCAAAGCGACCGGTCTTCTTGGCCTGAGTCACAATGGCGTTGAGCGTGTCGGTGAAGTATTTGAACAGACGATTTTGCAGATCGACTGGCATTCCGAGGATACGATTCAGGAACTTTGACATATTGTTGTAATCCTTGTCGAGGGTAAGCACACCAGGCGTGTTCTCGCTGTTGCAAATCAAACCGACGCCTACTAGCGCGTCCGCCACATCCTTGAAGAAATCACCGTGATAATCCTGAGGGGGTGGTACCAACGGCGGCTCGTACCTGAAATTATCAAATCGAATTAAACAACCATAATTCCACATGGATGATTTCTGTGTACTTTTAATCGATACGAACCCCATTATAGTCTTCATCGTCGCTTCCAAAGCTGAGCGACCGTATTTGTTGTCGATATTGAACTGCGAGAGATCTCGGGTCTCTGTCGCGCGACGATCGCCGTGCGTTAACGCACCCAGACTTTCCAAACGCTTCGCGACGATCGAGGCGAACCGCCTTTCCCCGGCCAGGTCCGATATGAGAAATATATACTCCGGCGCGTTGACCTGATTTGATCGATGCGTTCGTCCAAACTGCTGTATCGCTCTGTCCGCGCTCCATGGCAACTCGAGCGTGATATGCACACGTCGCATTTGATTTCTAGCTCGTCTGTCACTTTGTAACGATATACCACTACTGGCCGCTTCAGAGATTATCGCTACGGTCTTCTCTCCGTCCATAAACCTGATGCATACAAGGATAATATTCAATAGAATTCAACCGACATCCAATTCGAAGGATCAATATAAATTATCATTATAGAAAAGTATCATCCTAATAAATCTGTGTCATTAAAAATTAGTGTGTAAACGTAAAAATCATTATATAACAATTTGTACTTGATACACACCTCTGCTTTTCCGTTAAGTTAAGAGTCTCTAAAGGAACGTCCACCTCTGACCTGGACTCGTACTCTATTCCACCATCTTCCCTTTGCACAACGCGACCCTTTCTACCTGTCATCTCCGCGACATTTTCTGGCCCGCCGAGTTCGTCTATCAATTGGTCTAGCGTATTTGGCGGCAATCGTTCGCCAAGAATTTCAATTTCCGATAATAATTCTTCCTTCATGCTACAAGCCCTTTCAATAGAGTCTCTAGGCGGTGCCTGATTGTGAGGCACACCTCCGCCCATGGCGCTCATAGGCCCACTGATCGCCGTGTCGCCGTTGCGTTTATTTTTGTTGCTGGATTGTTTATGCACTAGCATTGACTGGATTTTATCCTGCGTGCTCAAACGTTTCTTCGCGGGTTTCTTCTGCTTCTTGCCCTTTTTCTTTCGCCTATCCCAGGGATCTAGACATAGTAAACAAAGACACAGTATATAGTAAATATAGTTCTGAGAGCCAGCGAAATATAGTTCTTTTCTAATTAAAAATGGATATCAA